ACCCTGACCGGAGTGCAGTGGTGTAATCTCGCCTCACTGTAACCTCCACCTCTGGGTTCAAGCCATTCTCCTGCCTCAGCCTCTAGAGTAGTTGGGACTACAGGCATGTGCCACCACTCCCAGCTAATTTTTATGGGTTTTGTTTGTTTGTTTTGAGGCGGAGTTTCGCTCTTGTTGCACAGGCTGGAGTACAGTGACGTGATCTCTGCTCACTGCAACCTCCACCTCCTGGGTTCAAGTAATTCTCCTGCCTCAGACTTCTGAGTAGCTGGGATTACAGGCATGAGCCACCACGCCCAGCTAATTTTTGTAATTTTAGTAGAGACGAGGTTTCTCTATGTTGATCAGGCTAGTCTCGTACTCCTGATCTCAGGTGATCCATCTGCCTCGGCCTCCCAAAGTGCTGGGATTATAGACGTGAGCCACTTTGCCTGACCCTTTATTATTATTATTATTATTCTTTTTTAGAGATGGGGTTTCACAACATTGGCCAGGATGGTCTTGAACTCCTGACCTCGTGATCCGCCCACCTTGGCCTCCCAAAGTGCTGGGATTACAGGCGTGAGCCACCGCACCCGGTTGACCCTTTATTATTTTCTTTAGACGGAGTCTCAATCTGCCGCCCAGGCTGGAGTGCAATGGTGTGATCTTGGCTCACTGCAACCTCCACCTCACAGGTTCAAGCAGTTCTCCTGCCTCAGCTTCCTAGTAGCTGGGATTACAGGCATGTGCCACCATGCCCAGCTCATTCTGTATTTTTATAGAGATTGGGTTTCTCCATGTTGGGCAGGTCGATCTCCAACTCCCAACCTCAGACAATCTGCCTGCCTTGGCCTCCCAAAGTGCTGGGATTGGAAATAAGGTCTCACTCCATCACACAGGCTGGAGTGCAGTGGTATGATCATAGTTCACTGTAACCTAGAACTTCCTAGGCTCAAGTGATTCTCTAACCTCAGCCTCCTCAGTAGCTGGGGCCACAGGTGCATGCCACCACACTTGGCTAATTTTTTTTTTTTTTTGAGATGGAGTTTCGCTGTTGTTACCCAGACTGGAGTGCAATGGCACGATCTCGGCTCACTGCAACCTCTGCCTCCTGGGTTCAAGCGAATCTCCTGCCTCAGCCTCCCGAGTAGCTGGGACTACAGGCGTGCATCACCACGCCCAGCTAATTATTGCATTTTTAGTAGAGACGGGGGTTTCACCTTGTTGACCAGGATGGTCTTGATCTCTTGACCTCGTGATCCACCCACCTCGGCCTCCCAAAGTGCTGGGATTATAGGCGTGAGCCACCGCGCCCGGCTGCTTGGCTAATTTTTTTAGTGTTGTGTAGAGCTGGGATCGCCTTATGTTGCCCAGGCTGGTCTCTAAATCCTAGTCTCAAGGCATCTTCTCGCCTTAGCCTATCAAAGTGCTGGGCTTACACAGGTGAGACACCCTGCCCAACCAGAACAGGACTTCTCAAAGGCAGATATGTCTGGAAGGCTGTGGTCTAAGACCATTTTTTCTTATTTTCTTTTTATTGTTAAGAGGGGGTCTCACTACGTTGACCAGGCTGGTCTCGAATTCCTGGCCTGAGGCAATCCTCATGCACCTTGGCTCGCAAAGCGCTGAGATTACAGGAATGAACCACTGTGCCTGACCCCAAGGCCATTTTTTGCTGGCTATCAGCAGGGCCTCTGGAACCAAAGGGAGCACACAGCTCTTCTTAACATTGAAGATATTTATGCCTGAGATGAAACTGAATTCCATTTGGACAAGAGATGTGCTTATGCATACAAAGCAAAGAACAGGACTCCTGGAGGCAAACTGAACAAAACCAGAATGATGTGGGGAAAGGTAACTCAGGCCCATGGAACTACGGGCACAGTTCGTGCCAAATTCTGGAACAATCTTCCTGCTAAGGCCATTGGACAAAGAATCCATGTGATGCTATACTCTTTTTTTTTTTTTTTGAGACGAAGTCTCGCCCTGTCGCCCAGGCTGCAGTGCAATGGCAGGATCTCAGCTCACTGCAACCTCCCCCTCCCAGGTTCAAACTATTCTCCTGCCTCAGCCTCTCGAGGAGCTGGAAGGAAAATAAAATGAACAGAGTATAGTTTAAATAACAAGCATAAAACACGTAGTAGTTAACTAAAAGTAAAGGCCATGTAAGAGTTGTACAGAGGCTAAGGAATTTAAGTAATCCCTCCCTAGTGAAGCTCCAAGTTTGTCTTGCATTCTAGGCTAGGTTGTAAACTGTATTCAGAAAAAAGTAAAGGCTAGCAGACTGGGCACCACCCTTAATCACACTCCTATCTATAGATCGCAGGCATCGTATAGAGAAATGCCCTCCATTGTTCTCTCTCAGTCTTGCTTAAACCCCCACCTGGTCATATACCCAAGCCTACTTCATCGATCATGACTCTCTCACATGTACTTTCTAGAACTGTAAGCCTTTAAAAGGGCGAGGATTTTCTTTGTCAAGGAGCTCGGTTCTTGAGCCGCAAGTCTGCTGATGCTCCCAGCCGAATAAAAGCCATTTCCTTCTTTAAATCTGGTGTCTGGGAGGTTTCATCTGTGGCTTGTGCGGCTACACTGGGATTATAGGCACCCACCACCACGCCTGGCCAATATTTGTGTTTTTAGTAGAGACAGGGTTTCACCATGTTGGCCATGCTGGTCTCAAACTCCTGACCTCAGGTGGTGATCTGCCCCCTTTGGCCTCCCAAAGTGCTGGGATTACAGGTGTGAGCCACCTCGCCTCTCAACTCTTGGTTTTAGCATTGCAAATCCTACAATCCAGAAACCTCCCTCAATCCCAGGAAAATCACCATAGTTGGTCACTCTAAAGAGGGACCTAAATTCTCTCAGCTGGACATATGTCTCCCCACAAAAATGAAGAAAGGAAAGTATTTCCTTTAAAAGCCACCATTTAGCCTCCTATTGGCCTAGGGAAGTTTCTGTAGGCTCAGGTCTGTTCTTACCTGAAAACCCAGGGGAGAAAAGCAAAAGATAACAATGACTCCTGATTTTCTAGTTGCAAATGTAGCTGTGAAATTCAGGGGACCAGCTGGGCACGGTGGCTGACGCCTGTAATCCCAGCAGTCTGGGAAGCCAAGGTGGGTGAATCATGAGGCAGATGAATCACGAGGTCAGGAGTTTGAGACCAGCCTGGCCAACATGGTGGAACCACATCTCTACTAAAAATACAAAAAGTAACCAGGTGTGGTGGCAGGCACCTGTAATTCCAGCTGCTTGGGAGGCTGAAGTGGAGAATTGCTTATAGCCAGGAGGCAGAAGCAGCAATGAGCCAAGATCACTCCACTGCACTACAGCCTGGGTGACAGAGTGAGACTCTGTCTCAAAACAAAAAGAAAGGGGACCAGGGCCTGGGTCCTGAACCTTTGTTAAGTCCTGGTAAAATTTAAGAAGCCCTATATAAAATTGTTTAATTCAAATTAATGAGAAATTTTAGCTCTGTTCCAAACACTATTCATGTAACAAAGCAAATGATCACAAGGTAAATTCTACTCTTCCTTCTAGCCCTCCAAGAGAAGTCCTGTAGTTCAGCTGCTAGCTGTATTGTATGCTTATCTCAGTTTTTAGTTCCTTTTTTATTTTTTTTCTTGAGACAGAGTCTCATTCTTGTCGCCCAGGCTGGAATGTAATGGCACAATCTCGGCTCACTGCAACCTCTGCCTCCCAGGTTCAAGTGATTCTCCTGCCTCAGCCTCCCAAGTAGCTGGGATTTTAGGAACACACCACCATGCCTGGCTAATTTTTGTATTTTTAGTAGAGACGGGGTTTCACCATGTTAGCCAGACTGGTCTCGAACTCCTAACCTCAGATGATCCACCCACCTTGGCCTCCCAAAGTGCTGGGATTACAGGCATAGGTCACCTCACCGGTTCAAACTAGTCTGTCGTGAATGAGAAGTAAGATTCTCTTTTGAGGAGGATTGGTCAAGAGGCAATCCCTAGCCGGACGCGGTGGCTCAAGCCTGTAATCCCAGCACTTTGGGAGGCCGAGGCGGGTGGATCATGAGGTCAAGAGATCAAGACCATCCTGGTCAACATGGTGAAACCCCGTCTCTACTAAAAATACAAAAAATTAGCTGGGCGTGGTGGTGCGTGCCTGTAATCCCAGCTACTCAGGAGGCTGAGGCAGGAGAATTGCCTGAATCCAGGAGGCAGAGGTTGCGGTGAGGCGAGATCACGCCATTGCACTCCAGCCTGGGTAACAAGAGCGAAACTCCGTCTCAAAAAAAAAAAAAAAAGAGGCAATCCCTAGAGCTATATTGCTGAGTTCAAAACCTAGCTCAACCCAGGTGTGCTGGCTCACTCCTGTAATCCCAGCACTTTGGGAGACTGAGGCAGGTGGATCACAAGGTCAGGAGTTCAAGACCAGCCTGGCCAAGATGATGAAACCCCATCTCTACTAAAAATACAAAAATTAGCCAGGCGTGGTGGTGGGTGCTTATAATCCCAGCTGTCCGACCTACCCTCTGCGGGAAGACTGAGCTCGTTCGGAAAAAACCGGACCGCAGGCTAGAGGAAATTCCTTAAGTTCAGGCTTTATTGAGAGGAAAGAGCCTCCGGGCAGGCCAGCCGGGACGAAAAGGAAAAATGGCCGCCCTGCTCAGAGGGGCAGGGTTGTTTTATAGGGGGCTGAAGGGCTGGGGGGTGGGGAAGCCAAAAGCCGAGGTGGTGGGCAACTGTTGGTCAGTTTGAACTGCTGGGTGGGAAGCTGGGCAGCGGGAAGCTGGGCGGCGGGAGGGCTAGGACCGGGAGGGCTAGGACCGGTATGTAAAGTGAGAGATAAGGGAGCCTCTTTGTGGGGGAGGGAAAGAGAGAGAGAGAGAGAGCGTTTGCGGTAGGGGCAGAGTTTTCCAAACATTCCCGACTCCTTAAAGAAAAGAAAAAGAGGGGGTCAGGGGCGTCGGTTGTCTCTCTGGCTACTTCCTGCTGACAAGGGTCGACGGGGGGTTCTGAAGAGGTTTCTTTTCCTAAGGAGCCTGGAGGTTTGGGGAGAGGTCTGTTTCTTGCACTCGTTCAGGGTGGGGTTGGAGCAGCATCTGGTGGATGGTGACTCCAGTCAGTTCTTGAAAGAGCCGCTGTAGGAACTGGAGAAAGCAAGGAGCAATAAGTAAGATTAGGCAAACGGCTATTAGGGGCCCAAGCAATGGTGACAAGAGGGTATACATAGAGGAAGACCACCACGCTGTGGCTTCAGCCGAGAACTTCTGACTCTAGAGGTTAGTTTCGAGTTTCTGGAGGCTCTCGATTCGGGTTTCTACTAGGCCGGATTCACTGATGTAGTAACAGCACTCTTCTTGTAGGAAGATACAGGTCCCTCCTCGTTCAGCAGTGAGCAGGTCTAGGGCTCTTCAGTTCTGTAAGGCAACTTGGGCAACTGAGGTGATCTGTCGTTGGAGTGATGCTAAAGACTCAGTAGAGTCATCAATAGCTGCTTGGAATTGCGAGGTCAGTCGGGCTATAGCCAGGTGAGAGTGGACTAGTGCCCCTCCTCCTAATCCTGCTGCAAGTGCTGAACCAGCAAGGGAGACTCCAACGGCAATGGGTAGGAAGGCAGCTCATCGGGTGCAGCGATGGGGAGTTTGCAGCATCTGGAATTCGGCTGGGGAATATATAGTGAGTCGAGGGACTAGGGTTACCGGGAGGACTTTCTGTGTATTTTCAGATGGCTGGGTGGTTTGGGGAAGAGAAGCGTTGGCGTGTTCTCGGAGAAGGCTGCGAAGGAGAGTAAAGTAGGGGAGGTAGCTGTCTAGAGGAGTAGTCTCTGGCGGTGGGGGAGTTGAAAGTAGGAAGGGGCAACCATACAGCAGCTCAAATGGGCTAAGCTGTGATGGGCCCCGGGGGCCTGCTCTTACCCTGGTGAGGGTGATAGGAATTAAGGTTACCCAGGATTGGCGGAGCTCAAGCATGAGCTTAGTCAGATGCTCCTTTATTAGGCCATTGGCCCGTTCCACCTTACCAGAGGACTGAGGATGGTAGGCAGCATGTAGCTTCTACTGAATTCCTAGAGAGGTAGAAACGGCATTAGTGACTTTGGAGATAAAGGCTGGGCCGTTGTCTGACTGTATGGTAGCCGGGAGTCCAAAGCGTGGGATGATGTCTTGAATGAGATGAGTGGCTACTGTCCCGGCAGACTCAGAGGCTGTGGGGTAAGCTTCAATCCAGCCTGAAAAAGTGTCAACAATGGTTAGCAGATACCGGTACTGTTTGTGCTTTGGCATATGGGTGAAATCAATTTGCCAGTCTTGGCCAGGTAGGAACCCGCGTAGCTGATGAAGCTGGCGCCGGGGATGACAGGAACCCTGGGAATTAGTTTTCACGCAGACAGTACATGAGGACTGATCTTCCTATATGGTACTGAGGAAGCTGTGGGGGTGAAAAAGTGGGTTGAGGAACTGGTATAAGGCTTTAGGCCCAATGTGGAGTGAATTATGGATGTCTTGGATTATCTGGTACCTTTGCTTTTCAGGGAGGATGAGGAGGTTATGCTTGAAGGCCCAGTCATCCTTGAACTGTACCCCGGGGGTAGACTGGAGGGTCTGGAGTTCTGAGGCAGAGTATTGAGGGCTAGGAGAAAAAGGCTGTGTGGGCTGGCGGTGGGGAAGGTTATGACGGCCTTCAGCTTTGAAAGGATGTCTCACCCCAGAAGGGGAACTGGGCAGGTGGGGATTACTAAAAAGGAGTGGGTGAAGGGAGTGGAGTTATATGAGCACATGAGTGGTGGGGTTTGATAGGGGATACTCGGGGTCCCATCGATTCCCATGACTAAGACCTGGGAAGGGGTGAGATGGCCAGAATAAGAAGGAAGTGCGGAGTAGGTAGCCCCCATGTCTTGTGACCCTAGGCTCGGCGAGGGTAACCGGAGTCGGAAAGCCAGGGCCCCGCTAGTCATCTAGCAGCCCTAGTAGACTGGGGAACGGAGCTCCCTCGGAGGTCGGCTCCTGGCAAGCAGGCTCCTCCCTACTGAGGGTGACCGCCAGCTGCGTAACGCCAGTGTGTCTGTTTTGAGGAACCGGCACGCTGGGGAAGCTGGGGCAGTCTGACTTCCAGTGTCCCGGGAGCCGACAGATAGGGCAAGGCTTAGTTGGTGGCCGTGGTTGTGGACAGGCTCGGGACCAGTGTCCTTCCTTTCTACATTTGAAACATGCCCCTGGAGGGGCATGGGTTTCGGCCTTGGGCTTCTGGTTCCCTGCCGGCCTTAGAGCCGCCACTAGGGCTTGGGTCTGGAGGGCAGCCTTCTGCTTCATGCGAGTTTGGCGGGCAGCCTCAGCCGCATCTTCCCTGGCATTGAATACTTTAAAGGCCATTTTTACCAGGTCTTGGATGGGAGTCTCTGGCCCCTCTTCTGCTTTCTTTAGTTTCTTTCTTATGTCGGGTGCTGATTGGGAGATAAAATGGGAGGCTAATACAGTGGCCCCGTTTTGGGAGGCTGGATCTAGTTGAGTGTACCGGACTAGGGCTTCTTATACTTGAGTGAGGTATTGGAATTCTTTAATATAGGTGGATGGGTTGGCTGAGAAGGATCCTAAACGTTTCTCAATTTGGGACAGGTCTTGGAGTGAGAAAGGAACATGGACCCTGATTAAACCTTCTGCGCCTGCTACTTCTCGGAGTGGGGCCAGGATAGCTGGCTGGTGAGAGCGGGTGTGGGCCGCCACCAGAGAGGCAAGAGGAAGTGAGGCCTCTGAGGGAGGGGGCTCGGAGGGAGTAGAGGAAGAGCGAGGCATGGCCTCTGAGGTAGGAGGTGCAGAGGGAGTGGGGGAAGGGCGTGCCGTTGATGGCGAGTGGTTGCTGAGATTGGCAGGAGAGGACAGATGTTCAGGCAGATCCTCCGGTGAGGAGTAGGGAGGGGGAGAGGTAGTGGAGGAAGATTTATGGGGGGTTCGAGATAAGAGGATTTGGTAGGTGGAGCAGGAAGAACATAGGTTGGGGTGGGTACGGAGGTCCCAAAAAGCCTGGACGTAAGGAATTTCATTGTCCTTGCCCGCGCGGCGACAAAAATCGTCGAGATCTCGGAGGGTGTTGAAATCAAAAGTGCCAGTCGGGGGCCAACGTGACTGGTTACTGAGTTTGTATTGGGGCCAAGCCACCTGGGACAGGAAAACAAGCTTTTTCTTTCTGAGGGTTTGGGAATATCCCAATTTGGTAAAATTTCGCAGCAAGCACCCGAGGGGGGTGCTCAGAGGTATTTTGGACTCCGAATTTCCCATGGCAGGCGCAGCTACAGACTCTCCGGCGCGGATGGGCAGATGCAACGAAAAGGCGTCCCCGTTCGTTGCAAATTCCCCGGAGTACAATTAAGTACGGAAAGGGAAGCGGTCAGAGGGGCGTCCCCCGTCTGGCGGCTGTCCCTCGGAAGGCTCCTGGAGCGGGAATGGAAGACTACCTTGGCTCGGCCGAGACTAGGCAAGGAGTCCGTGCGGAACGCCGGAGGGAGCAACTGCACCATGCCGTAGGAAGAGGAGACGGGAAGCGGGGGAAGGCAAAGCAAGAAAAACTTGGCTTACCTTAATCGGAACGTGGAGGTGGCAGGGCCAGTGTTGGGTAGGTCGGGGAGGGGGGCCGTGGCCGGGCCAACGGCCCCAGCTCCCGTCCCGGGTTTCCGGCACCATTTGTCCGACCTACCCTCTGTGGGAAGACTGGGCTCATTGGGAAAGAAACCGGACCGCAGGCTAGAGGAAATTCCTTAAGTTCAGGCTTTATTGAGAGGAAAGAGCCTCCGGGCGGGCCAGCCGGGACGAAAAGGAAAAATGGCCGCGCCGCTCAGAGGGGCAGGGTTGTTTTATAGGGGGCTGAAGGGCTGGGGGGTGGGGAAGCCAAAAGCCGAGGTGGTGGGCAACTGTTGGTCAGTTTGAACTGCTGGGTGGGAAGCTGGGCGGCGGAAGCTGGGCGGCGGGAGGGCTAGGACCGGTATGTAAAGTGAGAGATAAGGGAGCCTCTTTGTGGGGGAGGGAAAGAGAGAGAGAGAGAGAGCGTTTGTGGTAGGGGCAGAGTTTTCCAAACACCAGCTACTCGGGTAGCTGAGGCAGGGAATTGCTTGAATCTGGGAGAAGGAGGTTGCAGTGAGCCAAGATTGTGCCACTGCACTCCAGCCTGGGCAACAGAGCGAGACTGTCTCAAAAACAAATAAACAAGAACAACAAAACCTAGCTCAGCTGTGTGACCATGAGCAAATTACTTACTAATTAAAATATAAAGAAAATAAAACAGAAGAAAAAACAAAAAATCAAAAAAAAAGAAAAAAAATTACTTGCTTTGTGCCTCAGTTTCTTCCATTGCAAAATGAAGATAACAATCATATAGGAATGTTGTGAAAATTAAGATTAATAAATGTTGGGTGCTTGGAATAAGGGTTGGCAAACTTTTTCTGTAAAGGGCTGGAGAGTAAATATTTTAAGCTATGGGCCCTATGGTCTGTAGTGAAACTATTCAACTCTGAGAAGCAGTCATAGACAAAATGTAAATAAATGGGCATAGCTGTGTTCCAGTAAAATTTCATTAAAAATCCCAGCACTTTTGGAGGCCGAGGCGGGCGGATCTCTCATGGTCGGGAGTTCAAGACCAGCCTAACCAACATGGAGAAACTCCATCTCTACTACAAAATACAAAAGTCCAGGTTTGGTGGTGAGCACCTGTAATCCCAGCTATTTGGGAGGCTGAGGCAAGAGAATCGCTTGAACCTGGGAAGCGGAGGTTGTGGTGAGCCGAGATCCTGCCGTTGCACTCCAGCCTGGGTAACAAATGTGAAACTCGCCTCAAAATAAATAAATAATAAAAATAAAAACAGGAGACAGAACCAAAGACTGGAATCAGCCCAGATGTGCTTTAACAAGTAAATAGTTAAACTGGTACATCCATACCATAGAATACTACTCAGCAATAAAGAGAAATGAATCATTGATTCACACAACAGTTAGAAAGAATCTCTAGCCGGGCACAGTGGCTCATGCCTGTAAACCCAGCACTTTGGGAGGCCAAGGCAGGTGGATCACTTGAGGTCAGGAGTTCGAAACCAGCCTGTCCAAACTGGTGAAACCGCATCTTATTTTTTAAAAAATAAAAAAATAAAGAATTCCTAGAAAATTAGGCTGAGTGGGAAATAAAATCCCCTAAAATTACATACTGCAAGGGGATTGAGTATGGTTCTAATGCATAACTGTTTTCTCTCTCTCTCTCTCTCTCTCTCTGTGTGTGTGGCAGAGTCTTGCTCTGTTGCCCACGCTGGAGTGCAGTGGTGTGATCTTGGCTCACTGCAACTTCTGCCTCCCAGGTTCAAGTGATTCTCCTGCCTCAGCCTCCCAAGTAGCTGGGATTACAGGCACATGCCACCACACCCGGCTAATTTTGTATTTTAGAGACAGTGTTTCTCTATGTTGGTTAGGCTGGCCTTCCTTTTTTTTTTTTTTTTTGAAGATGGGGTTTCACCATGATGGCCAGGCTGGTCTTGAACTCCTGACCTCAGGTGATCTGCCCACATTGACCTCCCAAAGTGCTGGGATTACAGGCATGAGCCATGGTGCCTGGCCAGATGATACAATTTTCTAGAACTTAATATACATACAAATGAGTACAGCTAAAAAGAGAAATCTGCTCAGTCCCAGTGGCTCATGTCTGTAATCTCAGCACTTTGGGAGACTGAGGTAGGAGGATCGCCTGAGGCTAGGAGTTCAGGACCAGCCTGGCCAACATGGCAAAACTCTATCTCTACAAAGAAATCTGAATAAGATGGATAGTCCATATGTATATCAACATCCCAAATGTGATATCATATTATACTTTTTTTTTCTTTTTTCTTTTTTGAGACAGGGTTTCACCATATTGGTCAGGCTGGTCTGGAACTCTGAACCTCAGGTTATCCGCCTGCCTCAGCCTCCCAAAGTGCTGAGATTACAGGCGTGAGCCACCACGCCCAGCCCTCGATACTATACTTTGGCATAGCTAGAGGAAAATGGACAAAGTGTAAAAGAAATCTCTGTATTCTTTCTTACGAGTGCATGTGAATCTGCAATTATCAAAAGTATTCACTTCTCATTTTATTTTGTAGAGATGGAGCATCACTGTGTTGTCCAGACCAGTCTCAAACTCCCTGGCTCAAGCAATCCTCCCATCTCAGCCTCCCAGGTGTGGGGATTACAGGTGTGAGCCACCATGCTTGTTCCAAAATTTTTTCAATTAAAAAAAAAAAGACTGGGCACAGTGGCTCATGCCTGTAACCCCAGCACTTTGGGAGAAGAGGTGGGTGGATCACGAGGTCAGGAGTTCAAGACCAGCCTGGCCAAGATGGTGAAACCTCATCTCTACTAAAAATACAAAAATTAGCCAGGTGCAGTAAGAGGTGCCTGTAATCCCAGCTACTCGGGAGGCTGAGGCAGGAGAATCGCTTGAACCCAGGAGGTGGAGGTTGCAGTGAGTCCAGTTAGTGCCACTGCACTCCAGCCTGGATGACAGAGCAAGACTCCACCTAAAAAAAAAAAAACCTCCGGTGGGGCTGGATTTGGCCTGTGAGTTGGCTCACTGCCTGTTAGCAGTCCATGATCACTGACTTCATGCCTGGCAAATGCTAAGTACCATATAAGCAGGATGACCAACTCCTTCTGGTTTGTCCAGGACTTTCCAGGTTTGCAGTGTTAAAATCAGGAACGTCCTAGTCAATTGGGTTGAGTTGGATGTTTGCTTATATATATATTTTTTTTTTTTTTTTTTTTGAGACAGAGTCACTCTGTCACCCAGGCTGGAATGCAGTGGTGCAATCTCAGCTCACTGCAACCTCTGCCTCCCAGGTTCAAGGAATTCCCTGCCTCAGCTTCCTCAGTAGCTGGGATTACAGGTGCCTGCCACCACACCCAGCTAATTTTTGTATATTTTTTCCTTACTCTTTTTACTTCTTTTTTTTTTCTTTTTAATTCACAACTTGAGGTGGTAGATGTGGCAAATGTTTGTATTTTCAGTAGAGACGGGTTTCATCCTCTTGGCCAGGCTGGTCTTGAACTCCTTATCTCGTGATCCACCCAAATAGGCGGAGTTTCTATAATTCCTTACTGCTTAGGAGTTATGTGGCCAGAAGTCACAAGAGTTGTGATTTTCCCAATTGCTCCTATAGATGACATCACTTGTAGAACCTAAGTTTGGTTTTTAAAAATTGTTTCATACTGGCTGGGTGTGGTGGCTCACACCTATAATCCAAGCACTTTGGAGGCCAAGATGGGTGGATCACCGGAGATCAGGAGTTCATGACCAGCCTGACCAACATGGTGAAACCCCGTCTTGAAAAAAAAAAAATTGTTTCACACTAATCCTACCTGGACTCATGAGTCCATTGATCTTGTGACCCCACCCAGAACATTTTCCACACACCTATGATTTCATTTCCAACCAATCAGCAGCACCCATTCTCTAGCCCCCTGCCCACCAAATTGTTCACAAAAACCCTACCCTCCATGCATGTGGGGAGACTGATTTAAGTAATAATTCCAGTTGTCCTGTGTGTGCTGGTGTTGTGTCAATTAAACTCTTTCTCTACTGCAAGTGGATTGATTTTACCTGTGGAGTGGTTAGGAAGAACCCATCAGGTGATTACAGCTTAAGCAATCCTCCTGCCTCAGGATCCTCTGGAGTAGCTGGGACTACAGACTTGCACCACCGCTCCCAGCTTTTGATACCTATTTATTAAGTGTCCCATCTGGGAAAACGCCTCAGTCCCAAGCAAGCCAAAACAGTTGATCATACCAAATGCAAGTGTTCCTTTTTTTTTTTTTTTTGAGATGGAGTCTTGCTGTGTCACCCAGGCTGGAGTGTAGTGGTGTGACTCAGCACTGCAACCTCTGCCTCCTGGGTTCAAGTGATTCTCCTGCCTCAGCCTTCTGAGTAGCTGGGATTACAGGCATCCACCATCATACCAGGCTAATTTTTGTATTTTTGTAAAGATGGGGTTTCACTATCTCTACAGTGTTGAGGCTGTCTCTACAGATGTTGATCAGGCTGGTCTCAAACTCCAGACTTCGTGATCTGCCCACCTGGGCCTCCCAAAGTGCTGGGATTACAGAGGTGTGAGCCACCACACCCAACCTGTTGCTATTTTTTACACTGTCATTATAGTTTAATAAGAATCACATTCACACATATGCCACATGCATATGAGCTCAGAGCTCTACCAGATCTTTTTTTTTTTTTTCCAGAAACAAAGCCTTGCTCTGTCGCCCAGGCTAGAGTGCAGTGGTGCAATCTCAGCTCACTGCAACCTCCACCTCTTGGGTTCAAGCAATTCTACCTTAGCCTCCCAAGTAGCTGGGACTTTAGGCACCCCACCACGCCTGGCTAATTTTTGTATTTTTAGTAGAGACAGGAGTTTTGACACGTAGGCCAAGCTGGTCTCGAATTCCTGATTTCAGGTGATCTGCCCACCTAGGCCTCCCAAAGTGCTGGGATTACAGGCTTGAGCCACCATACCCGGCCCATACATACATTTTAAATAATCTGAATGAGTTGTCAGTATTTGAATACTGGTAGATTTCACATAAAGATCTGAATTTCTGTCAATTTCTGGCTTCTTTTGAAATATATATCTAAAGGTGTGGAAAAAGAGGGTCTACTTTCCCGATGGCTGACCTGAGGACTGGAAAGGAGCATGGGTTCTCCAGTTTACTATAGTACCTACTGTTCCCTGATGCCTTCCAGACACTGAGGCTGAGTGAAGATTACAGGTTATTTTACTTAACCCAGCTCTATTTGTTGCATCTTACATTCCTATTATGCATTTGAGCTTGTTACTTTTGTCCAGAAATTAAACTCCATCTGAGTTGAAATTATTTCTGTTTGGGTCTCCATTATATCCCCAGCATAGTACCACAGGAAGTGCTTAATAAAGTTAATT